TACTAGGATGATTGTTTTTAGTCAACATCCCAGTCCTTCCTTATTAGTCAACATCCTCCAGAATCATCCTAGTGGTCCTTCCCTTTAGTCAACATCCCCCAAGAATCATCCTAGTGATTTTTTCCTTACCTTACTGCTTTATATTATATAAACATGGAAACTTAAACAGTGTTGAATACTATAAACAGGAATAAACCAGTAACTAGGTTTCTGTGTATTTAGCAAAGATTATATCATTAAGAATTAAGAATTAATTCATGAATAATTCTCTCAATAGTAATAACACTTTCATGCCATAATGGTTTCTTTCTAAAAAGTTTGCACTCAATTACATCAAGGAAAATTAACTGACCGAAATGAATGACTTGTGATGAAATTACACTAAAACCGATGCCCATAATCTCTTTTTTTGGAATGCATAATTACCAGTATTTAAGTTACAGAAGTATGTAAGTTACAAGTTTCTTTTCACTAAAGGTAACATTAAAAATTGAATCTGTGGGTCAGAGGTCTAATGCATTCCTTGATTGACCTCACCAGGCTGTGGACTGCAGTTTTGTTTATTCAAGACTCATCAGCACGTCTTGGATCTGCAAATTAGAGAAATATAGTAAGGCCTCTTAAAATGGTGTGTGAATGACATTGCGCTTAATTTATTAATCAATGTTGTTCAACAGAACGACTGCATTAGGGTTCTATGTGTTAACTTCTTTCTCTCAGAAGTAAAATTGAAAATAACATCTGCGACATATAATATCAAGTAATAACTTAGATACAATGCTGTAATATTATTAAGGACTCAAAAACCCTATAGAAAAAAAAAAAGTGTAATTTAGTCTCACAACAAGGAATAATTTATAAAATATGAAACTGTGTGATAAGCATAAGAATTAGGGGAAAAAAATTTAAGCAAACAGATTAGTAGGAAAATTATTATAGGACTCTGTATGCCTGCATCATCTATAGTAGTGGTTCTCAAACATTTCGGGCTCGCGTACCACTTCTGGTTTAATGTTTTAAAATTACAAACCCAGGCCTAATTTAAAAAAAAAAGATAAAAATCTAGTAACAAAAATTCATATTTTTAACACATTAAGGATGTGAAGGATGTGGTTTGTTTTTCTGGCACAACTGAAGAATATCTGGTACCATTTTTTTGTCAATTTTAAGGGAAGAAAATACTTTCGAGTGTATGTAAGTAGAGGGTAGTGAGGAGAGGAGTACGTATATGTACGTGGAAGGCTAAGATAGGGATTATTACAAATTTTATGATTTTTTCTTTTTTATATATATGTATTAATTGTGTCGTGCGCCACCGACATTAGCTCCATGTACCCCCAGTGGTATGTGTACCACAGTTTAAGAATACCTGATTTATAGTATTAAAATACTACCAAATCAACTAAAAACAAGATCACTAGATTATCTACATGTTCCTTTTATCATTTTAGAAACTTGTATCACAAATTTCATTGTACTGTAGATGCAGACAGAATTTTTTATGCTAGTAATAAGTTAAATATTATTAAGCCCCCCTGTGGCACAATGGACTTATACCACTAGAAACTGAGCTTTGATAGCTGTGGTGGGCAGAGCACCTTTGTGTAGCTTTGTGCTTAATAACAAACAACAAATATCATGAAACTTTAAATTATGTTGATTAATTTAAACGATTCACATTTCACCACAAAACAAGAACAATCGGAGAGATTGCATTACCCTCGCCCCGCCTCTCCTTTTTGAGATTGCATGCATTTATATTGGATAATGTCAAATTTCACCTTCAAAAACTCAAAATCCTTCTCAGATCCAGAGTGATCAACGATCCGGATCTTTTTTTTTTAGTGCGATGAGGAGTCTCAACCTTAATGTGCCCGTGAAATGTGGTACAAATCCGATCACACTGTGCAGAGTTATTAGCCAAAAACTGTGAAAATGCTCCATCTCCCCATTATAAAAACAAATGCTTCAAAATTATCTGTATTTTGATCCACACCAAATTTGGGGAGGACTGTCCCATACTGACTTCCCATCTGACATTTGTGTACAATGGTGTATTAGTTTTTGAGCTATGCATGCGGAAACACAGACACACGTACCCATTTGCAATACCATCCGCCCCCCCTTCTCTAAGTAGAATGATGGTAATAAATAAAACTGAAGTTTGTCTTTCATGATCTATGTACCTTTAACAGTGCTATTAATTAGCTCCAGTATTTTTTCAGAATGTACGAGGTTATTTTCCCACACAGGCCTGGCATGGTCAAGCAATTAGAAAGCTTAACTTACAATCTGCGGGTCATGGGTTTGAATCCCCATCAACTAACATGCTTGCCCCTTTTAACCCTGAGAAAATTATAATGTGATGGTCAATTCCACTATTTGTTGATAAAAGAGTAGTCCAAGAGTTGGCAGTGGGTGGTGTTGACTGACTGATTTTCCTCTAGTCTGTCACTACTAAATTGGAGAGAGCTAGCACAGATGGCCCTAATGTAGTTTTGTGTAAAATTCAAAACCAACCAAATTAGTTTTACAGCACTATTATGAAAATAGGATGGTGTAATTAGCACTTACATAAGAAGTGACGACTTAAATGTATTTCTTTTTCCTCATCTTGGTTTACTCTTATAACTATGTTTTAATTCTTCATGTCATTAATTTAAATAAAGTAACACAGCTAGGACACAAACAGAAATATTTTTCAAACATTTAAGAAATGTAGATTTAAAAAAAATTTTTTTTTTTACTTCTCATAAGTAAATAAAAAAAATTTCCCTTAATAGGGTTTTTAGCAGTGTTTCGTATAAAATAATTCAAGATGACAAGCAAAAAAGTGCAACAAAATAAAAATGAATGAGAGATAATTGTACCGCATACCGTTTGTTTTAGTTGATTATTTTTCATGTTAAATTACAGCTGTTAATCATCACGTATACTCTTCTAGGTACGGTGTGTTGATGTTGTCGAAGCCTTCATTAACAGAATCGGGGATATTCAGCCTATCTTGAATCCTGTTGTTAGTGAACGATTTGACGAAGCTATTGAGGATGCAAGACGAGTGGATAGTTTTATCCAATCCGGTGCTAAAACGGTAGAAGAAATTGCTAAAGAAACTCCTTTCCTTGGGATACCTTTCACTACAAAGGATTCATTGTCAGTGAAGGGTATGTGTTGAATTCTTGAAGATGTGAAATGATCCATGGGTGTTTGTATGTGTGAGTGACCCACAAACGTTAGTGTGTGTGTGTGCGTTTATACGCATATATATGTAGTAAGAGCATTGCCTTCACAGTATGTTTTTGTTAATTAATTTCCTCCGGCCCCCAGTGGCACAGCGGTATGTCTGCGGACTTACAACGCTAGAATCCGGGTTTCGATACCCATGGTGGGAAGTGCACAGATAGCCCATTGTGGAGCTTTGTGCTTATTTACAAACAAACAAACAATTAATTTCTTTTCAACTTGATAGAATGCCTTTTAAAAGTAGTGATGGTGACTTTGGGTATGACAAACCGTACAAAAAATTTGCAAGTTAAGTCTAATGTTAAAATTTATAAAATATATGTATCTGTATTCATTGCTGTACCTATTATGGTTAAGTCAGAGTGACTTTACCGAGACAAATAGGTATAGAAATAACGTACCGTGTAGATAAAAAGAGATCATTTAGTCCCTCAAGACTTCCTTGGCACATCCACGTCCAAGAAAAAGAATATTAGAAAATTAAATCCACCATTTATTTTTGAGAAATTATTGAATCCACTATAAAGTATTATAAGGTGTTGCTCTCCAATAGTGCCAAAAGCAACTCATTCTAAAAGCTAATCATCCTGTTAGCAAAATAAATCTATCATTTGATAACTGAAGACTGTCTTTTATAAATCTTAAATTTGTCCTCTCATCCTGTATTTTTCATAATTCAACACAAAAAAATGAGAGGCCTTTATCCTATCAATCCTCTGGATCATCTTGTAACATCACCTCCTAATTTTGTTTCTCTAGAGAAAATAAGTTAAGAGTTTGTAACTAATCCCCTATAAGATAACCCTTCAATCCCTCAAAATCATCGTAGTTCATAAACAAGTCTGATACCAGATGTATATTGGGTAACTAAGTTACACTAGATGTGGTAAAAAGTCTGAC